TGTCGGTCCTGCGCCTCCTGCCCGGGCGCGGCGCCGCGTTTCCTGCCCTTCCGTCCCCCGACCCCGCGGCAAGATGGAGGAGGGGGACGCGGCGGCGGCCAGGCCTGCCCCGGCCCGGCGGCCCTGGGAGGCTCGGAAGTGCGGGGGAGCGGAGCGGTCTTAACGCTCCCGAGCTCCCGGCTGTGCCCAGTTAGGCGCGCACGCGTCCCTGTCACTCAGGCCGCCGGCTCATCCTCTGCGGTCGGCTGTGCGTCCCCACCCGCCCGCAGTCGCTCCGTCCCGCCCTGTCCTTCCTTCCCTGGGACTTTTGCAGAGCAGCGTTCGGGTCCACCCCTCCCAAGAGCTTGGCACAAACATGGGCCCTCCCGGGGGACCTGCCTGGCTTCAGGAGACTCCCTTTGGGCCCAGCGTCGCTTTCCTCCCCTTCACTCTCCGTCGTAGATCCCCGAGCAAAGAAAGAATCAGTCACCCCGCCGTGGACATCGCTCCGTCTCTCCTGACTTGACTCGCTGCTTTTCCCCCCTGTGCCTTCGTGCGTGCTGTCCCCTTTTCCCGGAATGTTCCTCTCCGCTCTCTTCTGCTGAACTTGCTTCTCAGTTGCTACTCATGTGCTGGGTCTGCACTGATATGTGGCTTACATAGAGAGCTTTCCTGGCTCCCCAGTGTAAATTATTCCTCCCTAATATTCTCTCTTAAAAGACTGTTCTTTTCCTTCAAAATTCTTACTGCACTTGGTAAAACAAACACCACCACCAAAAACCACTTATCTGTAGGTTTGCTTAATGTCTGTCTCCAGCGCTGACTTCAGGGGTGTGAGACCCTGTGCTTCTAGAAGAGCTCAGTGTGGGTTTAATGCTCTGCTCTCCTGTCTTGGAATTCTGAATTGTAAAACAAGGGGTCACCCATCTTCATTGTTCACTGGGCCGCCGAAAATGATGTAGCCGGTCCCGTCCGCCCTCTGTGGTTTATAGTGCCTGCCGGGCACAGTGCAGGACACACAGTAGGCCCCTACTGTAGTTGTTGAGTGATGGAAGGAAATGGCAAGCCCTGTTAAGCAGGGGCCAGGTCTTTGTCTTTATTTACCATTCTCTGGCCCGGTAAATGAAATGTCAGCAAATTCCATTTCCAGGATGCTATTGGCAGCTCTTTGGGTGGTTTTTCTTTTCCTGGAAAGCTACCCTTGTGATTCTTAAGGGAAGGAAAATGTTTCCATTTCTGATAAGGTAGTAACTTGCAGTGTATAGAATTCTTCTGAAGTCAGAGTTGGTAATGCATTGTTCCATAAAACTTTCCCTTTGAAGGAAAAAAACACTAATTTCTACAAAATGTGTCTGCAGCTAGAAAGATGGTACCTCTCTAGGTAGAGGTGAGGGCATGTTGTCCTTATTTATTTTTGAATTTTTACCACTCTCCATGATCTTTCCTCTCTCAATTTCTTCTTTGGCTTGTGACAGGCACCTATCTGGGAAGGAGCCCATTCACCCTCCAGTGAACCTACCACCAGCTAAAAGCATTGCAGTCCTCTGCTCTGATTCTTCCCAAGACTGGCAGGACGCCCCAGCAGGTGCCCTCTGCACTTTTAGTGTGCCTTCATCCCTGTTCTTCTGTCTTGTCTGCTGTCAGGTTTGGTCACTCCAAGGTCTGACTCTGGTCTCTGCTGCCCTCTTGACTTTTCATTCTTATCTCCCTGTCTCCTTTGTTTTTCTTAGGCTACATGGTTTTGTATAGGTATCAAAGGCCAAAATTAGGATTTTCCAAATCTACACAGAGAGTCACTGGATATTGGGTGTAACCGTGAAGTCTGTGTTTTCTCATTTAATCTGCAAACATTTATTGAGCCTTCTTTATGTACCAGATGTGAGCGCTTCCTTGGGGGCACCTGACAATCTGATGGGTAAGACTGTGCTCTGTGATCAGTGTCTATTGCTTTTAAGCAAAAAAGGTGGGGTTTTACTTGATTCCTGTTTCATCTGGAACAATCCGTAAATGTGGGCTTTATTCCAGAAAGTCAAGGTTTTATTGCAGTAGTTTTTCAAAGTTTAATTAAGTGATCGTGTCTTGCCTGAGTGTTCATCTAAATGGATGGTGACTGTAAGACAGAAGTACCTACTCTTTTGTTCCCCTGAACTCTTAATTTAAAAGTCTGATATGGAATTAATGTGATTAATTCTTAATTAACATTTCCTGCAACTGTTGTACAAAGAAAATAGAGGAATGTATAATGAACGTAAATAACTCATGTCAGTGTCTATTTGAAGCAGTTAATGTAATAATAATGGCACTAGATTAATGCTTATCATGCAGTTTAAGCAAGTCACTCAATCTCTAAGGTTTCCCCATCTGTAAAATGGGTTTTTTGTCATTTGCTTGCTTTTTTGGAGTCGTTGCAAGATTCAGACTTGACCAGGTATGTGAACACCTTGTATAAATTATAAAAAACTACAAAAGTAAGGTTTTGATTTAAACTGTATAGTCTATCACTATCTGGGAAAATTTAGGGACGTTAGGGAGGAAAATAAACATTTAATCACAACTAAGGCCAGGCAGAGAAAGGTGTTTTATGTTAATTTAAAGTAAACCATCTTAAAAACCTTAAAACTGCATAAGGGAGGTTATAGATTATTCCTATTTTAGAGATGGAAAACTGAGAATTAGAGAAACTAAAATAAATAATCTGCCCAAGTACACAGAGTTGGTAAGTGGTGTGGCTGGGATCCTATTCTGGTGTTAGACTTCTGTGCTAAAACCTCTTCTTCCATTTCTCCAAAAGTGCTTGCTTTGGTAGGAAAGAAACTAATACTTACATTATAATGTTTAATAAACAGACTTCATATTTCAAATTCAGAAGCATTAAAAAATTGCAAAGCCTACCGATATATAATATATGTAATATATTTTATATATATAATTTTTTTCCTATAGGTTATAATTATTGTGGGTTTTTTTTACACCTCAGATTTTTCGTTTTCTTATTTGCGTGGCTGTGTCTGGTATATACATTTTTGTTTTGCAGAATCCTTTAACTTTGGAATCAGTGAAACGACTAATAGCAGAAGGTAATAAAGAAGAACTACAAAACTGTTTTGGGGCCCGAATGCAGTTTGGGACAGCTGGTCTTCGAGCTGCTATGGGAGCAGGAATTTCTCATATGAATGACTTGACCATCATCCAGACTACACAGGTACCACATTTTTATTGTTCTTAGTTACTCTTGATATATCCCCTGGCTCTACTTGGTAGACATAATTTGTTTTAATTATGGTCATGTCTTGCGGGCTTGGCTAGGCATAGGTACTCACCACCATTTACTTCATAAAGTCAGGTTCGTGGAGTTGGTTAAAGCAGCACTTGTTTGAAGACTCATATAACCATCCATCCATCCATTTAACAGATTGATTGAGTGCCTACTATGTGCCAGGCATTGGGGATATAATAATAACTAAAATAGAGAGATTGTATCATGGAGTTTTCATTTCAGCACAAACCCACCAACTAAGCTGACCGACTTTTACGGTCTTGTAATTTTTGCCATGTCTGTACTGATGCAAGCACTGAAAATCTTTTCTAACTGCCAGAATTACCAAGAGCCTATTATATTTAGTTTTAATTCATAGTATGGGTTGAAATTATTACTGAGTTTCCTTGACTTCTTAATTTGTGAATTTTGTCATCAGAGTCTAGACCCAACTTTTAGAAATAGAGATGAAGACTTCGACAAAACGGAAGAGCTGCCCTTGAGTTTTGGGAATACTGTTTTTTAGGGATATGAAATAGAACAGATTATTCTCATTATTTCTTCAACTTGGACTTGTTAAAAACGAAGATCACTTTAAATCTGGGAAAGGAAAAGCTAGAAAATTGCCTAATGATGATTTCATGTGCTTTGCGTGTATGTACAAGTGTAAAAGGCAGAACTGGGCATATTCTACCGAAACTCCGATAAGGAAAACTTATCTAAGGGCACAGCATTGCTGTGGGAACTGGCTGCAAATTTTTGGTAAGCTGTAGGGCTTCCTGAGATCTTTCTGGAGAGAAGGCTTAGAATGAAGTGAGTCTGGGAATTCTGTTCCAGTTTGTGGATAACATAGGGACTGTGCTGCTAAATAAGGTCGTCTTCTGTTCCAGTTACTAGGGCTGTGTAACAGATCGTCCAAAACATAGTGATTTAAAAACAGTAACCACATTTCTTTTGTTTACAAATCTGCAATTTGGGTAAAGCTCAGTGCGACAGCTCATCTGTTTTACTCAGTGTCACCTGGGCCAGTTTAGAGTCTGGAATCATTTGAAGGCTGATTCATTCATATGTCTACAGTTATTGTTGGCTGTTGGATGGGATCTTAGCTGGAGCTGGAACATGTGGCCTGGGCTTCCTTACAGCGTGGTGTCTGGGTTCTAAGGGAGCATCCAGAGAAGAAGAGAGAAAGAATGTGCCAGTGGTAGCTATATTGACTTTTATGACCAAGCTTTCAAAGTCACTTATTTCCTCCATATTCTCTGCTTGTCAAAAGCAAGTCAATATGTCTGGTTCATATTCAAGGAGAGGGAACATAGACATCCACTACTCATTGGAGGACAGAGGTTATGATTTCCTTTTGCCAATAAATTTTTGCTTTATTTTATCTTCTTTGTGATCTATGTGTTCTTCTCTATTATATATATAAAAGATGTGTTAAAACATACACTCTTTTGGGCCAGCCCGGTGGTGCACTCGGTAGAGTGCGGCGCTTGGGAGCGCAGTGGCGCTCCTGACGAGGGTTCGGATCCCATATAGAGACCGGTCCGCTCACTGGTTGGGTGCGGTGCGGGCGCGACACCGAGGGTTGCGATCCCGTTGCCGGTTGCGGTACGGGCGTGACACTGAGGGTTGCGATCCCGTTACCAGTCACGAAAAAAAGACAAAAAGGAAAAAAAAAAACATACACTCTTTTAATTCATGGGGTGTTGCGGTACGGGCGTGACACTGAGGGTTGCGATCCCGTTACCAGTCACGAAAAAAAGACAAAAAGGAAAAAAAAAAACATACACTCTTTTAATTCATGGGGTGTTGCGGTACGGGCGTGACACTGAGGGTTGCGATCCCGTTACCAGTCACGAAAAAAAGACAAAAAGGAAAAAAAAAAACATACACTCTTTTAATTCATGGGGTATTCTTAGGGATTTTGCAGGTACCTAGAAAAACAATTCAGTGACCTGAAACAGAGAGGTGTTGTGATCAGCTTTGATGCCCGAGCTCATCCACCCAGTGGAGGCAACAGCAGAAGGTATTAAAACATTTTTAGAATATAATTTTTTTTTGTAGTTTATTTTACGGTTTTATTTTTAATCACTATTCAATAGCTTGACTTTACATTCATTAGCTACATTGCTTAACTGTAAGGATGATAGGTGAATTCTGTTTGTGACTTTTAGAAGTTCTGGTTTTAGGGAGAGAGGGAGAGGGGAAGAGGAACGGATAAAGGGTCATGAAAATCGACTACAATATATACTGAGAAGTTAAAAAAAGAAATACTGGTTTTACATTTGGTTAAGAAAATAAAGTACTTAGACAATTTGCAATGTAATAGCTGTCTAAATGAAAGAATTTTTTTTAACTGGCAATGCTATCTCTCCCTCTCACTTGATTCCTTTTACGTAATTTTTTCCTTCCGCTATTCATAAGTCTTATGACTCCCTTCCCATTCTGGGCTACCTAATTCAAGCTGCATTTTTCTAACATTCGCAACCAATGGGACTCTGTAGGCAGATGATGATGATGACTACGATTGTAATAGCAACCATTATTTGAGTACTGGTCATGAACCAGCCATTTATTATTTACTCATTTTATCCTCACAACAACCTATAAGGGATGTACTTTTATCTCTTTGCCTGAGATCATAAAGTGGGAAGAGGAGCCACAATTTAAGCATAAGGAGGCTGGCACCAGAGGTCAGCAAACTTTTTCTCTAAAGGACAGACAGTAAATATCTTACACACTGCACACTGCAGTCTCCATCACAACTGCGCAACTGCCATGTAGCACAAAAACACTCACAGATAATACGTAAATGAATGGGCATGTGGGGTTCCAGTAAAACTTTACTTACAAGACAGTAAAACATTAGTTTACTGACCCCTGCACTTAGCCATGTTATGTGATTCTCTTTTTTACCTGAACACTTCTCCTATTATGATGAATTTTTATCATTCCAGACTATAAGTATTAATAATTTCTTAGGTTGGGAAGAACTTACAAATATTTATTATTAATGAAAAGTCTTATTAACTTCCATTGCTGGGTAAGGTTATAGAGACCTGATCTTTGCCCATCAGAAGCTTCCAATCTAAGAGACAAGCACTGATGGGAACAAATGTATGGCCATGAGGAAGGGAACATGGCCAGGGAAAAAGACCAGATGACATCAGCCGCCAGACTGAACTCAGGAGGGCATTAGGTTTTTGGTCTTCAGCTTTACAGGCTCAGAATGTGACTTTTGTCAATAAAGCCAGAGAGAGGCTGTAGCTCTGGGGGATAGGTGCACAGGAACCACATTCACAAGAGAGTGAGATAGTGCAGAACAGGATATCAGCTTGCCAGTTTACAGATGGTGGATGTACAGGTAGAACTAGATCACAAGCATGTTCTGCTGCCCAAGCAGTTGGTCACACCCTCCGGCCAGAGCATGCACAGTGCATATATGTGGCTAACTGTGACTGCTTTGCTTCTCAGATTTCTTCATTTTAGGCCGACTCCCTTGCTTCCCATTGACACATCCTTCAGATATGTTAACATTGTCGATAAAGGGACAGGAGTTTCTTGCTGTGGCCTTGGAGCCATATCATTTCCTTAAAATGACTGATGTTGCTGATTCTATTTGAGTTTATGGTACAAGTCTGAGAGCTGCATGGGATGGGGTGAAGCTCAGGGCAATTCTCTGTCACCTGCCACCTGCAAGACATTTAGAGATTATAACATAAATATTAAATCAATACACGGTAAAACATTCATGATGAGTAAATGAAATCTTCCTAATGAGCTGGAAATTATTGCAGTTTCAGAATTTTACATAAAGATGTGTTTATTAGTTCTTTAATCTTGGAATTTTAAATATCTGGTGGGGAATGTAGGCAGTAACTATTGAGTGTAGGCAGAGAACACATTGAATTTTTTTTTTGTGCACATATGTAACCTTATATATGTATATGTGCTGAGTGTCTCTTTTGCTGACTTTAAGACAGGGCCTTGAAAGTCTGCCCAAAGACAGGATAAGTCATTTTTGCCCTCATGAAATGCCCTCTGTAGCAGTCATCATGGATCATAACGTGAAAATGGCATCTTGAAGATGGCAGAGATCAAAGGGGTCCAGGCTCCTGCTATTTGGGAAGTCACATTGCCAGCCCTGAACAGCTTACGATTACATGAGAGAAATAAACTGCTATTTTATTTAAAAAAAAGAAAAGAGTGGGCCGGCCCGGTGGCGCACTGGATAGTGCGCCGCTTGGGAAGCGCGGCGGCGCTCCCGCCCGAGGGTTCGGATCCCACATACAGACCGGTTCCCGCTCACTGGCTGGGCGAGGCGCGGGAGCAACACCGAGGGTTGCGATCCCGTTGCTGGTCCCCGGTCCGGTACGGGGGCAACACTGAGGGTTGCCGGACACGGAAAAAGACAAAAAAAAAAAAAAAAAAACTCAGCTGAGGATGCAAAGAAACCGGAATGAACTAAACTTCAGAAAGCAAAGTGTCTTCACAGAAGAGAAAGTGTTCATGGCTGCTCTTATTCCTGGTGAAACAGTGGGAACAAGGGAGAAACCAACCAAAACTTTAAGAAACTTACCCACCATGTGTGTTTGGGCATAATAGATCAGAATTCAAAGGAGCCCCAGCTATATAGCAGGTCAAAAAAAAAAAAAAAAAAGAAAGAAAAGAGGGGCCAGCCTGTAGCTCACTCAGGAGAGTGTGGTGCTGATAACACCAAGGCTGCGGGTTCAGATCCCTATATAGGGATGGCCGGTTTGCTCACTTGGGAGAGCGTGGTGCTGACAACACCAAGTCAAGGGTTAAGATCCCCTTACTGGTCATCTTTAAAAAATAAATAAATAAATAAATAAAAGAAAAGGAAAAAGAAAGGGACTTCTGGGCCTTCTAATGAATGCAGTTTGTATTTTATTCAGATTTTTATTAAGAGCGTTCTGATGAATTTTGTTATTTTTATCACTTTCTACTATATAGAGGCATTTTTTTTTACTGTGAAATTATTTTTGTGTTACTATCGATCCTAGGAATGTTAACACATTAGTTGTTAAAGTATGAAGATCTCCCCTTTTTGTTCCAGCCAGCTCCCAGAACAAAGCTAGTGTACAAGAATTATTTGGAGAGAGAATGAATGATCTGATGGTTTAATCCAGGAATGTTATAACGTTGCTTATTCTAAATAAATTGATCATTTATTTATGATAAAGTATTTTACCCCAAACATGAAGAAAGATTTGATGCCATGTTCTGTGTCCTGCCCTAAGCCACTTGCTATAGAAGTTGAGAAAAATATCAAATATTAAGTTTTCTTTTCAGGGCTCATTGGAACCAAAATGTTTGTGTGTGTGTGTGTGTGTGTGTATGTGTGTGTGTGTGTGTGTGTGTGTGTATGCCAATATGTCTTATATTTCCAATAAAACAATGTCTAGTCAAATTCTGGTCTACTTGGTGTGTACTAGATTGTGACAGGTTTAGACGAGGGTTTCTCAGACTCTGCACTATTGACATGTGACTTCACACTGACTGGATAATTCTTTGTTGCAGGGGACTGCTCTGTGCATTGTAGGGTACTTAGCAGCATCCCTGGCCTCCACCCACGAGCTGCCAGTAGCACCTCCCCCCTCCCTCCAGTGTGACAAACAAAAGTGTCTCCAGACATTTCAGATGCCCCACGGGGGACAGAATGGCCCTGGCTGAGAACCACTGAGACTGAGTTGAAAGACTCAGGTCCAGCTGGGCTCAGCTGCTTAGTGACTGTGGGACACAGGGCCAGATACCTGGCCTGTGTTGGCTTTAGTCCTATTTCTGTAAAGCAAAGGAATGGAATGAGATGACTCCTAAGGGTGCTCCAGCTTTAATGTTCTGTGCCAATGTGAATGTTTGTGATAAATGTTTGCCCTGATCCGGCTGCATTCATTTCCTTCTTTCATCACCCACGATCTTGACAACTCAACTCTCTTTTCCTTCCCTGTCATTCTACATGTCCAGATTTGCCCGACTTGCTGCAACCACATTTGTCTGTCAGGGGATTCCTGTGTACCTCTTTTCTGATATAACCCCAACCCCCTTTGTGGTAAGTAACTGTTTCCTTTTATAATTTCCTGTCACGGGATCAGGATGGGACTTGGCTGAGTTTTATAGTCTATTGTGCTATTGGGATCCGGGTATTTGAATGACAGATCTGGCATTTTTTGGCCCTTCTCTTTTCTGTCCAGGAATGTTTCTCCTACGTCCTAGTAATATTTCTCTGCTGTTCAACTTTCAACTCATCAGAACTGATTTTTAAAAAGTACAATTTAACTTTTGCTTGCATTCTAAGGATATTTTAGCACGTTAGCAAAATGTCTTTTGTGTGTTTGTTTTAAAATTTGGTTTGTAGTCCATTTTCTCAGCTATCACAACTAAGAAACTTCTTAGGTCTAAATCTGAATTTACCTAAAACCCTATCTTATCATGAATATTTTGATAAGTTGGTGCACCACCTTTTTATACAAATGTTTCATTCTAAATACTATTCATGGCTAGTATAGAGAGCATGCTTGGCGTGTTTTAGTAAGACTTTCATCAAATCCTTAATGTAGCAGAATCTAAAGAAAAGGACAGTAGGGATGGTGACAGCTGTTCTTTTAAGTAGACAGAACTGTTAAGAACTGGGCCAGATGCTGAGATTGTATGTTTTTAGATGTAGTTACTTACATCGAGTAGAAATGAGGGCCGAGCCCGTGGCGCACTCGGGAGAGTGCGGCACTGGGAGTGCAGCAGCGCTGCCGCCGCGGGTTCAGATCCTATATAGGGATGGCCTTGCAGTGTGCACTCACTGGCTGAGTGCGGTGTGGCCGGTCTCAAAAAGGACAAAAAAAAAAAAAAAGAAAGAAATGAGAGTATATCGGTACAGAAGCAAGTATTGTGTTTGCTGTCTCTTGTGCACTCACAGGCAGATGCAGCACCTCCAGGATTGTAAATAACCCAGCGGACAGTCTATGTCACACCTAAATGTAGTTTAAGTGTCATTGTTTGATGGATAAATTGCAGTGCGTTCAAGCATCCTAATTATCTTCTGTATTAAGTGTTAATAGCTACTATTTGGGGATCAGACATGAATTAAATGAGTGTCTCATGATCATTTTCCCATGCTGGGGAGTGGTTCTACCCTTTTCTTTTCCTCAAAACACCTGAGAGATGTGACATAACTTCCAAGGGGACAAATGACTTGCAGTGACTCTTAGTGGGAGGGTGGAAGGAGACAGATGGTTCAAATCTTGGGTTGCCTGTGTGTAGTAAATCTCATTTGCAGACGTAGGGGGAATAATCCAGTTCTTCTCCCCATATGGTGAAGTAGTCTCGTAAAGGTGGGAGCTAAATCAAAATTGGAAGGAGAGATATTTAGCCCTGGAGTGAGAGATAAATAAGCAACCTGCAAGAATGCTCTCTGTGTCCTCAAATTTTTTTCTCAACCCTTTCCTTAAAAGTAAATGAAAAAGAGCAGGAGAAGTGAAAGCAGCTGGGGAGAATAAACCGAATCCATAAGCCTCTGTCCCAAGCAGAAGCCTGAAAGAATGTGGAGTGGAGCCTTAGACCATCTTTTTGTTTGAAGAGTTTTCTATTTCTACCAAGGAGATGACAGAATGAGAAGCACACACCAGGAAACTACTCACTTTCCTTATTAGCACACACATCTTGGAATTTTGAGCAGCCAGTTAATAAGAGTCTTAATATAAGAGTCTTGAGTATGGGGTAATAAGGGGTAATAAGAGTCTTGAGTATGGCACAAAAATATTGAATGACACATCACGACATTTATATGTATGTTTATTAAAAGGGAACAAGTTGGCACAAATATATAGTAGACATTTTAAGTATATCTAATTTCTTGTTAAAAACTGTTTCTTGTTTCCTGCTGTATTACAGCCCTACACAGTATTGCATTTGAAACTTTGTGCTGGGATCATGATAACTGCCTCTCACAATCCAAAGCAAGATAATGGTTATAAGGTATTTTTCTTTTTCTCTCCACACGTGTGTCCTATAGGAATCCTATACCTCTACTGTTTGGGAACATAGGTAATGGGTGCTTTATTTACTAACCCTTGTAGTAGTCCGTTTTCTGTTGCTGATAACAGAATACCTGAAATGGGGTAATTTGTAAAGAAATGAGATTTATTTCTTACAATTTTGGAGGCTGAGATGTCCAAGGTCCAGGGGGCACATCTGGTGAGAGCCTTCTTCTTGGTGGCGGCTCTATACAGACCAGTGGCAACGCAGGGTATCATGTGGCAAGGACGGGGAAGAGGGCTGTTAACATGCTCACTTGCTTTCCTTGTAAAACCACCAGTCCGCATGCATGACAGCCCATTAAACCATCAACTCATTATTCCATGAATGGATTAATGCATTTATGACAGCATACTCCTTATAATCCAACAATCCAATTACCTCTTAATGGCCCACCCTTTCAACACTGCCACATTGGGAATCAAGCTCCCCTGTGAGCTTTGGAAGGGACAGACATTTAAACCATAGCAACCCTAAACTTTCTGAATGTGCTCTTGGGTTCTCTAGGTCTATTGGGATAATGGAGCTCAGATCATCTCTCCTCACGATAAAGGGATTTCTCAAGCTATTGAAGAAAATCTAGAGCCATGGCCTCAAGCATGGGATGATTCTTTACTTGATGGCAGTCCGCTTCTTCATGACCCAAGTGCTTCCATCAATAACGACTACTTTGAAGAACTTAAAAAATACTGTTTTCACAGGTAAAATGGAATGTGCCTTCACTGATCTTAAATGAGTTAAGTTAATGTGATTCAGCCAAATTATATCAATTTTCATTTAATTTTTCTCTGTAATTGGTGCATATACTATAGCTGCATCCAGTTTTAGAGGCTTAAAGGGACAGTAAATATTTTGGGCTTTGTGGGCCTTACAGACTTTTTCAGCTACTTAACTCTGCTGTTGTAGTACAAAAATAGCCATAAATGATACATCAGTGAAGGAGTGCAAACACCAAAAAACTTTATTTACGATAGCAGGTGGCTGGCCCATAGGCCATAGTTTGCTGACCCATTGTAGACTCATATACAAGGGGTCTTCAAAAAGATCTTGGAAAGACTCATATTATCTTTTACTTTGATTTTTCCAAGAACTTTTGTGTGTGTTTGTGTAGTATCTTATCACTGAAGTATCTGACACACCCCCTTACATGAGGACCAAGAAGGACATGGGTTTTGAGAGCAAGAAGACAGAGTGAAACCTTGCTCCATTGGTGCTTGGGGCAATAACTGATAGTTACCCCCAGGGGGCAACACCAGATGACTATATAGAATGGAAAAAGAGCAAGCTCTGTGCTCTGTCCCCTTGCACCAAAACCCCACCTCCCATCACAGCCTCAGATAGAGGGTGTGCCATATATTAAACTGACAGGAGCAGACGCTGCACTGGCTCTCAGCCAGAGAGGCTGAGAAGCAATCTCCACCAACTCTGAAGTAGCCTTATATATGTGTATGGAAGAGTAGTGTTGTATATACATATATATATATATGTGTGTGTATGTTACCTTAAAAAAAGCACTGAAAAGTATTGAATAAGAAACAGTGGCATTTTTCCTATCTTTTCAGAAATTTTCTGTGCATATGCAACCATATATATGTGTATGTATAATATACTTCAAAGTCATACATAGGAATATAGTGTGCATGTAGTTTGTTCAGTGTCCTTTTCCTCCAGTTAATTTGTCATGGACACCTTTCTTTGTCAGTCCCTATTAGTCCTGACTCTTGTTTTAAGGCTTCTGCACCCATTTGTTTAATAAGTGACATGGACTTGATATTTACAGTCAGGTACAAAGTGGACTAGACAGGGTTGTCCTTCTTGAGTATGCTGTAGGTCTCAGCACTCCTGATTGTCCCCCTAGCAAGAAACCACTGCTTTTAAGGAAGGTGAATTCCTAGATTATCTCTAACATTGTATTTGTTGGACCACCTGGGAGTGGCAGGTCCAGTACAGTATGGACCACAGTCCCATCTGGAGGGAGCGGCGATACCGACTCTGTGGCTGTACGCAAACATAGATCCAAATTGTCACATCGTCTTATTTTTTCTCCCCTAGAGAAATTAGAAAGCTGGATTTTGTATGTGAAGTCTCCTAATTTCTAGATGTGGGTGGCCATTTGTTCAAATGCATGTAATTCCAACAAAATGCATTTGTGACCCTTCCCTCTGCTCCTCTGATTTAATTTTACAAAGACTGAAGGGTTTTTTTTTTTTTTTTTTTTTTTTTTTTTTTTCCTCCTGTCTGTTAGCACCAACCCCAATGTCATTAACTGTTTTGGAGGGACAGTGGCCTGGCATTTTAGAAAGTGTGCTGGTCTAATAATACTAGTTGTGTTTCTGTTTCTTGTAACTTTGTGGTTTCGGGCAAGGCACTTCCCCTCTCTGAGCCCTGAGTGTTTTCCTCAGATGATTTCTAGGGGTGTTTTCTGCTTGGAAATTCTAGAGTTCAGAAATCGAGGGGAAGCTGCCAATCACAGAATGGACTTTGGGTTTGTGTGCAGATAATGTGTTTCTCCAACAGGGCATGTTTGTCTTCTGGGGTCACACACATAGGTAATTGTACTATCTTGATGGCCCAACTTTGCTAGGATAGAAGGCTTACTATGGGCAGGTGGAAGGATGAGAGAGAAAAGGGTGACAAAGAGCTTTAATTAAGTCAGTGGCTCTTAACCTCTGAAAACCTAGGGGAAGCTGTGAACCTAGGAAAATGCTCACATGCATAATACTTTGTGTCCATTTAAAAGGGGGTTCACAGATCTCCTTTTAACCCTGAATCCTGGTTAAGAAACTTCAAACTGGCATGTTTGTTTCCACTGACCTTTAAGACACCTCCTCCAGGAAGCCTCTCTTGACTTCTATGCTGTTTTCCCACTGCCACAGTGCCCCCCTCTTCCCTGTACTTCTCAGAGAGGTTGACATTACCTGTTCCTGCCTGTCTTTCCCTGGGAGGGCAGGGGCTGGCTTGGTTGTTCCCCGCATGCCCCCTGCCTGGCACTGAGTGGGCTTCAGCAAGTACAAGTATTTGCTGAATGGAACTGAGGAATAGGTCCCGACACCGAAGCAGGGGTGGCCTAGCCTTATTCCATGGGGCAGTGCAATTACATTGAGTTGGCTTAGAACCTGACTGACTCAAATGCAAATCCATTCACTTCCGCCAGCTGTGGGTTGATGAATAGTGGCAAAGACGTGAGGGTTGCCTGTAAATTATTGTGCAGCTTGAGAGGGGCTGGGCTGGGCTGGAGGGAAAGGACTTTCAAGGAGGCAGCCTCATGAGGAGGCCTCTTCTCTTTCTTCTTAACCTCC